TTTTATTGTTATGAAAACTATCCAGAAGACGAAAACATTCCTCCGATGAAATTCTGCCTTCACAAAACATTTTCTGTTCTTCAGAAAGTATAGGTATATTTAAATCACTTAGAAAAGAAGCCATTTTCAGTGCAATATCCGGATCATTATTACTACTTTTGTACAAGTCGTTGTAGAACCGTTCTTGTTCCTTTAATATACAAAATGGATCTGTTTTAATTACACCACTTATGTAAAGTTTTCGTATATCTTTTTCGTAAAGTTTTCGTATATGATTTCTTTTCTCCAAGTTTAAGAAATATTTTGTACTTTTTTCCCCATGCTCATGCCAACGAGCGTGTGCACGTATAATTATTCCATTTGTTTTCTCTTGGTAAAATGTTTCTAACTTTTCCTGAACCATATTATAGCGAGTTGCATTGGAGTCACTAGGTATATTTTCAAATTCTTGCTTTGCCTCCCTCAATTCGTCTTGGAGAAGTGTTTCTTTCTCATTCTTTTCCTTTGCTCTTTTTTTTGAATGACGCATGGCATGGGCCCTTATGTTATATTTGATCCAATCCCAAACACTACGATTGTCTGAAAGTTCTTTCCGTCCCTCTGCAGCCCATATTGGAATCATTTCAGTAACGTTGTTTACATATTCTTCGTCCGTCAACAAAGAACAATTCATTTTCCAGTGTCCAGGACCCTTCAGCTCATTGTCTAGCTTTCCAATTTCTATCGAAATTGCATCATGGTCTGTTCTAATTGCAGGAATTATTTATGTCGGTAGATTTCACCAAGTCATTTAAATTATTAGATATCAACCAATAGTCAAGACGACAAAAGATTCTTGGGGATTTTTGACTCCAAGTGAAACTTTTTGTGTTTGGGTTTTTAATTCTCCATATATCAACCAAATCAAGTTGATTTTGCAAACGATCAATACAAGCTGTAACTGATTTTCGTTGAATAGGTATGCCTCCTTTTTTATCGACCTCTACATTTAGTGGACAATTAAAATCACCTCCTATGATGATGTTATCTTCGGAATGTAGGTTTTCCTTTTGTAACGTCACAAATAAATTATTGAAAAAGATGATAAGATCTTTGTCCTTGAATGTTTGGCGCGTATACATTTATTATCACGTATATTTTATCTTTGATATCAGCTTTGAGAATAATGTATCGTCCCAAGGGGTCTAGGATCTTTTGATGGATGGTACAATCTAAACCATTTTTAATCAAAATAGCATGACATGTTATAATTTCCGCACCCCATTCATTCTTCCATTGAGTGTCTGTTTTTTACGTGGAATGGGTTTCTTGTAAAAACATTATATCTGCCTTACGTTTCCTGCACCAAGTGAACATTGTTCTTCTCTTCAGAAAATTACTTATGCCCTTTACGTTGAGCGATACTAATTTAAAAGCATCAGCCATCTAAGATCATATTTGTTGTAAAAGTGGAACTGCAGCAGAAGCCAAAGAAAGAGGATAGTGCTAATGAAGCACACAATGGAAATGCAAATAATTTAAACAAAATCGGACTAATATAAAGAGAGACTGCTTTTGGTACAACAACTTTTTCACTCTATCCCAGACCTTTGTTCGACTGGCCAGGATTAGATCTCCTGGTCGCCACCTCTCGACAAATCTGTCCCACCCTTGACAGACAGGCAAAGCCCTTCGCATCAACTGACATTGAACTTTGTCACTTTGGAATCGGATACACCTTTTCAAGGCCTTTAAATCCTCATCCTTTGCTCTGTAATCCTCTTTGACTTCTTCATAATATGAAGCCTTCAGTCTTAACCACCCATGGGGTGATATTCCACTGATTGGCGGCGGCTGGCCGTGGTCTCCACAGCAAATTACCTGAACCCCGCGCTGTTTCAGCCATTCAAGGAAAACCTGGAGAATCTTCACAGGCACTGTACAGACCTCGTCCCAGATTATGACACGGGGAACAAACTTTTGACCCATACGCTCGGGGGTCCACTCTTTCTGACCACTCCATCGAAAAAAGCTGTGGTAGGTCTGGGCTTTGACACCTCTACCGCGCATCTCTTTGGCCAGGCAATGCGTGGGACATAATACAAAAGGATCTCTTGATGTGAAGAGATTTATCGCTCTCGTTTTTCCACTTCCTCCACCGGCAGAAAGGTAACAAAGGGCATAACATGACAACGGGTCACTGAAAGAAGGGAAAATGCAAGGCTGTTTTGTTTCCAGTATTCTGGCTTGGGAGTGTAAGCGGCGTGTTCTTGGGGCATGTACAGTTTTTCCCCCTTGTCTCGCCACTGTCCCGGTTCTACTGGTTTCTGAAACACTGTTGTTGCGCAGGCAAACATGTTTTCTGCCAGCAACCACAGTGGTTTATCTTCGGAACGTAAGCCTCAACGTTTTCAAGCCTGTGCAAGGCCGTTTTTCGGATCTATAAGCTGTCAGTGCAGGCCACTCGCACAACTTCTTGTGGTTCAAACGCTGCAACATTGCCACAAGGTTTATATGGGCATATGCCAACATGGTTGCTCTCAAATGTGTGTACTGCGGCTGCAATCCGTCGTAGTATGTCAAAATATAGCCCAAGGGGCACTTCTGGGGCGCACCCACAAGAGTACCGTTTTGTCTTGTGTCTCTGACAAGAAAGTCAAGCTCTCCCTTGTCTGTGACGAGCCTCCAGTTCAGCCTTTTTCCGCCTGCTTTGCTACCCTGCGTGAATTTACCGATCATACTGCAACCTTGTGTTCTGTCCTCGGGGAACCAGAGGTCGGTTTGTACTTCAAATGAAACAATGGCCTCGCGAACCTTCAAATCAGTTAAAATGCCTGTCTTTAAAAGATAATAAAGAAGGGGTGTGGGCGCCCAGCCTTTTTCAGCGAAATGCCTTCCAAACCAAGACGAGATTACAGGGTGAATGCCCTTCTTAAACTCCCATTCTTGCAACTCAGCAAATCCTGTGTCTATTTCGTCTGGCAGTGGACCATTGATTGATATGCGAACCATTTGATGGCCTGGCAAACCAAACCTTTCAAAATAAAGCTTTGCATCGCCCTTTCCCTGAAAACTGGCCGGATAACACGATTTCATGTCAATACTTATCACGTCCTTTGTGTTGTAAGACATTGAGTTCCAGAGACCGCCATGCCCATGTTCTACACACAAACTTTGAACATCTTCGAGAAAGCTTGCTGGCGTTGGTTTCCACCCGTTTTGCTCTCTTGCTTTTATGCTGGCAGCATGTGACAAGCAAAAGGCTTTTTCTGCCAAAGCAACATCACCAAGATCTCTACAAGCCTTTTGTATTTTTTTATGTGTTTCTCTTGTTCTATAAACCCTTCAGTCTATAGAGTATAAACTGGTCCAGATACAAATGACCACCCCGACCACCCACCCATCGGTTCACCCTTTGTGGCTTCTTGAATGGCCTTCCAAACATCACCCTCATAAATGTGAACTTCACGCGTTGTTGGAAAATGAAGGTCTCTTGGCCAAGCGTGGGCATTGTGGACAATAAGCTCAATCGGTTTCCACTTACAGGCTTGATATTTTCCACTGTCGTAAATGTATTCACCGGCTATGTCTTTCAAGACGATAGGCCTTTTTATAATCGTCTCAAGATTGGCCACGTCATCAACAGTGGCACCACGGTCGCGGACTTCAGCCTCCCACCACTGTATTTTTTGTCTTCTTATTTCTGTGAGACCGTTATCCCTCAAAGCACTTTCAAAATACTCAACCACTCTCTGCGCAACACAATTAAAATTGCCAACCCTCATTGGCGCCAAATTAGTGGGGTCAGGCTCTGTCAAAGGATAAAGCCCATAAACAACAGCAGTAACTGGGTAAGCGTTTTGATAATAAACATTGTCAATTCCTGTCAGAATGCCGGGTGCAGTGGCCCGTGTAATTTTAACTACGTCCCAGCCTTTCTTTAGTTCAAGTTTCACAGGATCAATTTTGTCTTGAACCACCAAGTCATTTTCGCCATTTAATTGCAACAATTTTATTCTTATGATAAATTCTCCTTCGGGAAGGTTTCTGAGAAGTGTTTCAGACCTGTTGTCTGACATTCTGGCATCCAAATTCATTCAACCAGCTCTAACTTCAACACCATCAGCAATACGCATATCACCCATGTTAAAAGGATCTTCTTCTTCCACCTTCCATTTTGAAAAGACAGCAACCGCGCCGTCAACTTCAAACTTGTCCTTGGCATCATTTAAAATTTCAATCCAAGGACCATTTGTTGGAAGTCTTACAGTTTGAGGAAACTGAACATCAAAATCTGGAAACGTCGGTGCCGCGGCCATCCTTATATACTGTAGCGAATATTTCTCCAATATAAAATAATTATTTGTGTCAGTATTTGTGGGCGTTTTTACTGTTATATTAGCCTGGTGCTTTTCCAATTGCTCTGTAAAGGGTCGGCGAAGGTTGTGGGCCACCCCAGAGATGTTAAAAAGAACTTCAAAATAAAGGACAAAAAGGGGGTATTTCTAGGTATGCTCATCCCCCCTGCTGCTCAATCTGACAACAATAATTTATTAATGCTGGGGGGTATGTATGATGGACCAGCTGTCGTGCTTAGCATCCCATCCTATCCAACTCCTAGTTGCTTAATGCTATAGAAACTGGGATAAGTTCTGGCAGTGTGGGCCACTTTGGCCTAACAACAGACTTTACCCTTACCTTACACCAGATGAATAGCAAAATACAAGGCGTTCAAGTTTACTGCTGCAATAAATATACAAAGTAAAATAAGGTGATCTTATTTAGCCTGGGATTCAAGGCCATTGCAGGTTGACCCGCAGCATTTTGTTAGGTTTCCCTAACAGTTCACTGATGCCCATTTATACTCCTGGGTAGACTGCAAGCACGTCCCTCTTTTGATTTCCACTGACTCGCGCTTCGCGCTCGCTCTACTATCCGAAAGATGGACTGCTCGCAGTCTAACTCCTGGGTGGAGAGAGGCACTGTGAGAGTTAAGTGTCTTGCACAAGAACACAACACAATGACCCAGGCCAGCGCTCGAACCTGGTCTGCTCGATTCCGAGTCCAATGCACTAACCATTAGGCCACTTGTCCACATCTCCCACTTGTTTAGCTTACAAGTACATCTACTAAAAATATTCCTCCACAGGATAATAGATGAAGATGTTCTGGACAGATGTTGTGTAAGGTTAGAGGAGTGGGTCTCATCGGCAGAGAATGGAGAAGAAATTGAGTTAAAACTTGCAGTTGTAAGTACTAATTAGTGTGTAGTTATGCTTTGAAACAGTAATATATTATGACATAACTCAATGTTGTGTAACTTCTAATGCAATGAAACTTCGATGATGGCAGTTTGTGAGCAATCGAGTGGGTCCGATCGAGTGTTTAGCTGCCATCTTTTTGCAGGCTAGGCTTCTTTGATTTCGATCAAATCATTATTCTCTGTCTAACCTTGGTCTGTCTAACCTTGGGTACATTGGTGATTTTGATCGTAACATTATTCTGTCTAACCTTGGGTACATTGGTGATTCTGATCATAACATTATTCTCTGTCTAACCTTGGGTACATTGGTGATTCTGATAGTAACATTATTCTCTGTCTAACCTTGGGTACATTGGTGATTCTGATCGTAACATTATTCTCTGTCTAACCTTGGGTACCGATTGGTGATTTTGATCGTAACATTATTCTCTGTCTAACCTTGGGTACATTGGTGATTTCGATCCAAACATTATTCTCTGTCTAACCTTGTGTGTGATTTTAATCGTAACATTATTCTCTGTCTAACCTTGGGAACATTGATGATTTTGATCGTAACATTATTCTCTGTCTAACCTTGGGTACATTGGTGATTCTGATCGTAACATTATTCTCTGTCTAACCTTGGGTACATTGATGATTTTGATCGTAACATTATTCTCTGTCTAACGTTGGGTACATTGGTGATTTTGATCGTAATATTTTCCATTCGATGGCGCATTGAAGCAATAAACTGCAACCGACTGACACAATCTTGTTTTGTCGTACTTTTTCTCTTACCATTCCAGCTCAAGAACACTTTTTTGAATTATTTTTTTCAAGTAAAAACGTTCACTTCCCACAGCTAGTGTTTCAAATTTTTATCAATTTGAATATCTCAATCATCTATATATAATTCTAACTATACTGACATTGCTAGCAGAACCGCTTCGCTTCAATTTTTCCCGGCCAGAAAAGTTTACTTGGAATTAGAGACCAAAGCGGCCCTACTCAGAGTCGGGTAACCGTAACTACAGAACAGTCCTAGAAACTCCGCAGAAAACACCACGTCTGAAGAACTAAAAGCCCTACAGTAAAGTTCGAAAAAGTCGATTTGTGACCCTAGATATTGTCAAACCCTTTTCAGGGTTAACTTGCTATATTTTTATAACAATACAGTCGAACATAGAACTGAGAGAGGCAAATTCGGGCACAAGCTGCAAAACATCGTGATTTTCTTGAGCCTCTGATAAACTCTATTAGTATATAAGCAGTTTTAATATGCAGCAGATCTACAGTTGTTTTACTTTGGCCTAATTTGTGTGTAGAAATAACTGAAACTAATTGTTTTGTGGATGTAGTCAGTCTTCATTTGTGCTCAAGGAATGGACTTAGCGATGAACATTCGACCGGATAAGTTCTTTTCGGCGATGTCGTTGTTCGTTCATCGTTGGAATCTTGTAGCTTGTTGTCGATCACCTGATTTTGTAAGCTATAATTTTCTCCTTCTAGTTGTGTGTACGTGTACATGGAAATAAATTGAGTTAAATCTCGAGAATTGAACGATGTTTTGCTGAATAATTTGGATATCAGTCACTGAGGTCCATCAAGCTCTGTATACCGGAGCTGTATACAATGAAAATAAAGCTTTTCAACTATTTAATAGTTGTACTACTTCACTCGGTGTAGATCTGCAATATATTGGACAGTTTTTGTCTTTCATGAAATATCGAAAGCTACATGTATGCATTGTTCACACTGCACAGGATCCATTTTGAATTTCCTTGATCTTTAACAAATTTGTATACCCTGGGTGCTAGAGGGTTTTTTTAAATCTAGTGGTTTAATTGCACCATTGTACCTGCTCAAAAGCAGGTCCTGGCCAGCAATTTTGGATCCATGCCATTCAAATTAACTGGCCTGCACACAAGTGTTGTGTCGTTTTGTTTTTTGTCGTTTTGTGTATGCAAGTTTTGTGCTGGTACAATTTCAAATTGGCATATCAAGTATGATTCAACATATATAACCTAAATTAAAATGTGATTCGGCCTCCTTTCTCAATATCCTCAACGTTGGCAGACACGAGGGGACTAGTCACACTTGCACATACACAAAGGGACTAGTTGCACAGGAGGGGACTGGTCACACTGAGGCAGTCCTCATGTGTACCAACCTTTAGATGTAGCATCCATAGAGGGATAAAATGAAGGTGTGACATCTTCAGCATAAGGCTATAAAAGCAACATTCTATTATTGTTGCAGTCCTCATGCTCAAGGGTTCAGTCATTTACTTTATAGGGACCATTTTTCCATTTTATTTCACTAAACTGGCCTGCAAGAACTAGGCTCAGGCTCATGTTGCAGGTTTGCACATGAATGGATGAACTACGTACTGATGAAGCTCACAGGCTATCACACATGAGAGAAACTCGGGGGCAGATTTAGGGGAGGGGCCGAGGGGGCCGCGGCCCCCCCTTTTGTCTTGGATTTTTTTTTAAACAATGGCTAACCGGGCTGAAAACGCACTGTTGCTGCCCTTTGTTCACAAGGACATAGCTTTTTGATTATGGTGCAATTGTTGACAACTATGCCAAGTGCAACCAAAGGGATTATGACGTATTTGAATTCATCAATCCAATGGAGATGGGATGACTAGTTTAATTAGTTCCCATACCACTCCAGTTATTAGGATTTTGTTTGTTCGAGTTGATTCAAGTCATGTGTGACCACAACCACAACTGCCTTTTATTAAATATTTCAACATTTCTTGTTCAATATGGGATCCTGGCATTTGCCAAATGTAAGCGCCCAGAATGCACCAGATTGCATCTCAGAGTACTTAAATTATCAAAATTTTCCGGGGTGGCATGCCGGACCCCCCTAGAAAGGCGCCCAAAAGCAAGCGCGCCCAATGGGCGCAAACGCACCCACACTCTAATAGAAATTTATACGGCCCACTTTTTCACAAATTGTTGGATCTGCCCCTGAAACTTGTGTCATATTTGCACTAAACCCTTGCAGTAACAGTGCGAATCAGTGTGCAGTGTGACTGCAACAAAACGTTCCAGAAATAATTTGACTGTCATGCAGGAAAACCAATGAGACCCAAGATATATAAACTGCAAACCCTAATAATGGTATTATCCCTGTGGTTTTATTTCTTGTCTGATTGGACAGCAAAATAAAAGTGTTCACCCCTGTGAATGGCCAGGTGACCACTAACCCAATTTCACTCTTGGAACACAGAAAGCTCTACACAAGTGTGCCTGAATTAAATTTTGGTTAAGAAAACAGGAGATGAAATTACAGGTGGCTCACAGAGAGCCTGAGAAACCAGCTTCTTCTGAGCAGCCAAATTTTGTAGAAACGTATACATGCTTTTTGAAGCACTAGAAACCTCAGCCAGTGCAAGCTACTAAATAAACCTTGCTGTATTTTCAATATATTCAATCTGAACTCAGGCATTACCTTACAAATAAATATTTGTTATTGTTTTTCATTTCCACAATCTAATGGATTTAATAAATGCTAGTCTCTCACAACTCAGCCTCCAGAGATATTATCCACAGATTATCAGCAAACAGTTTATGAACACATATAAACATAATCACAATCAAAGTTGGCTAAAGTTGGACACTGAGTTGGAGGAAGAGGTCCCAAGTGGAGCAGTGTTTTAAATAACAATACAAGTAACATAAAGAAATAGCAACATATTTTGGCGTCTTGGCAATAATCCTCTGTTGTCACGAAGGGCCTTTAGGCTGCTAAAACCTATCAAACAAATGAAGAAAAAGAAACATGATCAAACATGTTAAAAGAAACGAATATAACTCGAAAACAGTAGTGTGAACTCGTTCTGGTCACTCCCGCGAAATCAAAAGGACATGTCACGAAACACGATAAAAGCTACAACTTCAAGTCCAATTTTGGGCCCGCTGACCTTTTCATAAAACTTAACTATCCAACTACATTTCTGTGTAAAAATAATCTTAAGATACTGATTACTAGTAGCAAAGAAAACGCCATATGTATACCCATGTTACACACGAATGATAAACAAAGGTTTCCAAGACAGCTCGGTTTTCATTGACAAATTGTGATACGAAAAATGCTTACCTGAACTTATAGCTTGAACCATAGCTTGCTGAGGTAATCCTCTAACAGATGTCCGAAAATGATGAACTGAATCGCTCGATAACAGAAGAAATCCACCGAAAAAGGACGAGCTATCCTCTCTCACGACTCAAAAACACGGCCGCCATTAGTATCGCCCAGCTGACGCGTGATTGGATGAATGTAGTCAAATGAACCGTGTCCGACACTATAAAAGCACTCTCGCGTAAGTTAGTACGGCATTCCTTCTGAGACACCACAGAAGAAGGAACAAAGCCGGAGGAGGAACAACTCTGAAAAATACGACTAAACACTTGCCCCAAAATCTCAGCCGTGGAAAAAAAAGCAATGGCAAATGCAGAAAGCATTGATCAAGACCAGGAGAATAAAGAAAGACGGTCAATGGACCATATACAAGACAATCACTTCCATGGAAAACAAGGGAAGAGCGTTTTCCTGTCAACAAGGCGATGTGATGTCTGGGGACTGATCCAAGAGACATTAACAAACCCAGATAAGACAAGCGTACACAGATCAAAGAAGTTTAGACTAGTATATAAAAAAAAATTTGCTACTCCCGTGGGAGTTGATGGACTTACGGGAACTTTATGTTATGGTGTAACAGTCATACACGACACAAGAGACAACTACATAATAACAGCGTTTCCGTCGGTGTGATGCTCAAGACAAGATGAGTAAACGGGTCAAGTGAGGCCTTAAGCTACTGTATTTTGCTGTTCCG